ATCATTTTATACTATTGTATTAATAATTCGTCGACTATAAATTTTGAATTCGGATAATCGAAGTTAGATTAAAATTAGTTTTAATAAAAATTTAATGTAATGCCTGTTAGCAATCCAACGACGTTTTCGTTCTGTTTTCAAAAAGTCAATTGCCCTACGGAGACAAAAATTTCTGTCTCAAGTACAGCTTTTAATTTATTAATATTTGAGGACATCAAATATAATGGAGGACCAATTAAATATTAAGTTTTCTTCGTGATTAATTAATTAATTTCTAATTGCATTCGTGATAATCATCTAAAGTGATTCTATATCATCTAAGTGATTCTATATTTCGCGCAAAATTTCCGAATACGATCATAACGATCATTTAATAAAAATTTTATTTTTTGGATAATTACGTGTTTCACTAAACGCATTGTAACGAGTCCCCTATTAACAACAACGGAACAGAAATATTTTGCGAGCAAAAGCTATTATTATCATAACAACGAGATGAATTCATCGAGTGCCGACGTTTACTTGAATACTTAAATATCGACGAGAAGGAGAACAGAATTTTACATCGACTAGTGAAAGAACGATATAATATTCATACTCGACAGGTTATTACTAGAAATCTTCATCGCGAGTCGGACTGGTCGAAGTACGACAACGAGTTAAATAGAAAGCATCGTCGCGAATGTTTCTTATGCGCATTATAACCTGAAAGCAGCATAGTAAAATGCATGCGAAGAAATTTCTATAGAAAAGATGGCAAAAACGCGGCGCGAGCGTTTCTACGTGCGAAACGCGATAAGAAGTGATTTGGACACGCTGTCTGCGGATCGTTTTACGCGCCTAGCGGGAGGAAATCGGCGTGGTTTGAAAAAATCCACTTTTTAAGAAGTACTTAATATTTTTCGAAATCGACAATAACAAGATTTTGATGACGAGGTCGTATAACGTGGACGTTTAGGATTTCAAAGGGGTTTCTTTCGAACGAGTAAGAAGATCGATGAAAGTACAGGGTTCCCCGGAAAGAATCATCCGATTTCAAAAATTTATATTTTAAAAAATTACACACAGAAAATTATAATTCAAACACGAATATAACGGGAAAATGTGTGAGTTTTTGTTTACAAGTGTTCAATATGACTTCCTTTCGTTACACGTATGATATCATTGCGATATGAAAGTTCTTGCCAAACACGGTGTAATGTATCTCTGGTAATTGTTTGTACAGCATCGCAAATGCGTTTTTTCAGTTCATTTACACTTGTAGGTAAAGGTGGTACAAAGACAAGATCCTTCACAAATCCCCAAAGGAAGAAGTCGCATGGGGTTAGGTCGGGTGATCTCGGAGGCCAACTGTATAGAACCATATTATCGGATGAACTGCGACCAATCCAACGGTTTGGTACGTGAGAAAAAAATAATAAAAAGTAAAACTCGCACATTTTCCCGTTATATTCGTGTTTGAATTATAATTTTCTGTGTGTAATTTTTTGAAATATAAATTTTTGAAATCGGATGTTTCTTTCCGGGGAACCCTGTACATTTTTAGAAAGGTATTGCACCCCAATGCACCCATGGACGCGTGGTCGTGGGAGAAGCGGCGGTCGGGCGACGCGAAAAAATCCAACGATATCAATTTTACACTCCGTCAAAAAATGCCGGCGACCGTTAATACGCGCGCGCGCGGTTACCGGCGNGAAATATAAATTTTTGAAATCGGATGTTTCTTTCCGGGGAACCCTGTACATTTTTAGAAAGGTATTGCACCCCAATGCACCCATGGACGCGTGGTCGTGGGAGAAGCGGCGGTCGGGCGACGCGAAAAAATCCAACGATATCAATTTTACACTCCGTCAAAAAATGCCGGCGACCGTTAATACGCGCGCGCGCGGTTACCGGCGTTACACGTGTAAACACGAAGAGGGCGCGCTCGAGCGGGCCGTAATTTACCGCACGATTTTCAAGAAGCTGTCTAAATTTATCATACGCAAGAACATTGGGCCGTGCATCAAATTTCATTGCACCGTTGCGGAGGTTTTACAAGGTGTGACGGGCTTCCAGCACGTGTCGACACGACGACGCCGCGGTCCTCACACGCACGCCTCGCGCTGCATTCTTCGCCCGGTGCAACCCCATGGCCGACCTTCGTGCACACCCGTGCGTTTACCGCGTTGGATCCCACGATTTATTCGCTTCTCAACCTTGCGACTTTTTACTCTCGTTCTCGTCAGCAAAACGCCGCGCAGTTCGCTACCTTTTAACACTTTCTGTGTTGACGAAAATGAGAAATTATTGTACAAGAAATATCGATTTTTCTTTTGCGTTGTTCATGGAGCTTTGTATCACATCCGTACTATACGAACGTTATTCCGATTATATTACTTGTATTATATATTATATATATTATTATTATTATATATACTATCACTATCGTTTGCTGTCACATTGCGCATAGACAGTGTTATATATTGGATTGTTTAAAAAGTCTGTATTTCAGTGATTTATTTCGAGTTTTATAAGCCCAGTTTATTCATTGAGAAGATCAGAACCTCTTTAAAACTGGCATTTATACATTAAAAACTCGGGAATAATGCATCGAAGCAAGCGGAGCATGTTTTGATTAAATGAACATCCTTCGAAACCAGACGCGGAATTAATGTACGCAAAAATAATTCTCTCCGCAACCGTATTTATAATTTTCCTTAGAAAACGACGCAACCGGAGAGCAACGAAACACTTCGCAATACATAGGAACGCGACAGGGTCGGGCAAACGAGTATCAAGCTGTCAAAGAGTTTGCAAATCTAACTGAAGGAATCGCCAACCCCATGATTTCTCATGGCAACGATATTCGTGTCGCAAAGGCTGCAAGCCTAATCCTAGGAACGAAGACATTCAAAACGCGCGCGGAGGGACATTAGCATTTGTCGACAGCTCATTCATTTGCATTCAGGTAATCGAAAGCTACCCCTGCGCGGACAAGGCCGCGTTCCCCCCATGGTGGCGACCGTAATGGGACCTAGCCGGAGGAACTGCGACTTTATCATCGGCGTTTCACGAGGTTCGTGTTACCCTACTCGGCGCTTACCATCTTGTTAATGCGGAAGGGGGTTGGGGAGCGTGGATCTGACATAAAGTAGCTTTCCGTGTTGTCGGGGCCAACAATATGCACAAAGACGCGGCCCTTTTTCGTAAAAGAAGACGAGCCGAATGCCAGCAGGAAAAGAGGACGAGACCGCCGGCACGCAACAAGGTTCACTGAAGCGAGCCGATCGCGTCGGGACCCTCGGGGGATCGAGAAAGAAGGGACCACCTCGATCGAGATTTGGTTTCCTCTGTAGGGTCTCGATCGTTCGCACTTCATCGGTAGATTCCGGGGACAGATAAGGGTGGACGACTACCCCGTTCTCGTTGCTACAATCTCGGCATTGTTGGCTCTTCCATCCCTCCTGGGTTCGCAGGAAAGATTCTACGGTTATGCTTCGTTCGTTGTTTTATATATATATATATCCCAACCCCGCCCGCTTTTAATGCTAAACCTATCGAGACTACCTACGCTAAGCCCTTTTATCAAAAAATAAATAAAGAAAGAAAGTAAAAGAATAAAAAAATGTTCATATGTGTTATTCGATAAATGCGAAGTATGTCTGTAAACAAACCGAAGGCACAGCAATTGCTAATCCCACAGTAACGGCTCCACTACCCTGCGAACTTAGTCGTAAAACCGCTTGCTCACGATAATACGAATCATTCATGGTATTAACACTAGATTTACGGAGCACTAAAAGCAGCCGTTTTATAGTAGTTTATAAAAGTAACAATAAGACATTTATTCGGATTTTTAACAAGCGTTATTGCAATATTCGCCGCAAGTAACGCATATACTTCATAAATAACTCACAAATGTATCTTTACAATGTGTATAATCGTAAATTAAAAAACTGGTGGTCCGTCTTTTTAACAGGTTACGTAAACCCAGTGGTAAATAACGATCCGTGGACGATCGTATCAACGAACATGCAGTCGAAGCGCTCATCGACTGGACATCCATCCACTTATGCCAACAACTTGAAACATCGCGTCAAAAAAGTCACTGTTTCGCATCTATACAAAACTATGTGTACGATGCATTAAAATGTCTAAATGATCATATTTAGCAAGAGAGTGTTCAAACAATTGAGCAGGAGATCAATTTCAAGCGAGTTCTCCGAGCGGATATTAGGAAGATCAAACAGCATCTAAGTTCGCAACGCAGCTTGTTTACATTGTCTTACGAACAGAAGGGCCGCTTTGCGAAGTATTCTTTATAGAAAACGATGGCCAGGCGTTATACGGTTCTAATTAATCTACAGAAACGTTATAGTACTCGTATCCAATATAATAATTAACCCGAAATGAAATAATTAAGTTCGATTTGCTTTCCTACCCTTTAAATAAGGTTTTTAAAAAACCGGCTCCAAATATCCTGAGATTCTTATTCCGACATATTCGTCGGACAGTCCATTTTAACATCATAAAAACGTTTCTGGCAAAAAGTTGCGATCTTCCGAGTTATTTAACAAGATATGTGGCCGCAACCGGTCTCGAATTTTCTACGAATTTTCAGGCACCAACGCAAAACTAATGAAAAAAATCTTCTTTGGGGACAAAAGTCATTCGGTATTCGGCTGACAATAAATTGTGCGAATGAAAATCTTTATAATATATAGGGCATAATAATATATATAGCACAAAGGCTTTTGTTCGATCAAAAATAACGGTGGCGAGAATTTTGTACGCGAAATCGTATAATCTTTTTCGCGCAAAACGACGCGTCTTTGTAGCTTCTTCGACAAATTGTTCAGGCATTTCGATCGAAAATCGATCGGCTAAGAGGTCACGATTTTTGTCCGGGACGCTCGTACACGCAAAAACCGCGCGCCGTGCATCGGCGGAACTCGAACCCCGTTCCGGCGATCGAGCCGTCCGGAGCGAGTCGAAGGCGCGGTAGCAAGATCTCTTACCTCGTCTGCCGTGGTCCCTGGATCTGCCCAAGAATCAGAAGGGCTATCGCGGTTGCCGCGATGTCACCGCGACGCATCTCTTACATCACAATCCCCTTGTTTCTAGAATTCCTGAAACGGATGTGCACGCGACGAGTTTTCACGGTTCCGCAGTCAGCCCGACCGGACGCAGGTCGGATGTTCTCGTCGTCGTTTCAGTGGCACGGTACAGGTTTCACGGTCCTCTGACGGGTCGTCGCACGCTATCCCGTGGTCGCACCGATTTCTCCCATCACTGTGCAGCACACACCGGCAGCCGTTGTCGCACACACGAGGTTGCCGCGACGGTGTCTCTCGGTCCCAGTTCCGTTTTCATCGATTTAAACCACCGCGAAAAATTCGACCTCCTAACCGGATCTCCTCCCTCTGCCCCCCATAAATCTGCCGGCCAATTGTTTCCTCCTTGTTCCCCGATCGTTTAAACGTCAATCAACCGATCGCCGACGGCGATTCTCGCTCCCTCGATTCTACCGGGTCGGTGCCTCGAGTTCGCGCGTGCGCGCGCGCGCCCGCGCGCGAGAGAGATCGTCTTAGAGACGTGAATCACACACTGCTGGATCCTCGGCCCGGCGGACCGATCCTCGGTTTCGCGAGCAGGCTCGTTAAAACGGCCGCGGATGCGGCGGGACAAAAGAGCGGGTGCACGCGAAACAACGAAACTGCAAGGCCAACATTTAGAAAACCGTCGAGTGTGTTTGCTGCGCTTAACTGGTCCGGCGAGTGTTTGCGATCGCCAAATACTCGAGAGCCGTTCCCTTTAACGGTGACTAAGCGGAAACTTGATGTGTCTATAAGAGCGTCTCACCTCTTCCTTTCTCTCTCCCTCCCTCTCTCTCTCTCTCTCTTTTTCTCTCTGGCTTCGTTCCTCTCTCTCGCGTGCCCGAAATCCTTGAGATCTCTCCGCAGGGTGTGTTGCCGCCGGTGTCAAGAGTTCGCGATCCGCGACGGCGCTGGAAGAGATCCGGAAGACGTCTTGGATGTCGTCGGACGGTCCCCTAATGAATGCAAGGGGACGTCGGATGGTGGTATCGCCGGGCTGCCGTGGAAAGGCCGGGAGTTATCGAATAAACACTAATTAAAACGATACAACTAGGCGCACACGCGGTGATTATCGACGTGGCTTCCTGGACGATCGGAGATAGCCGGGCTCACGCGACGTATTATTACGACGAGGGATCGCGCTCGATGCTCACGCGAGGATACTGTCTTCTTATTGTCCCGTTGCTAACGATTCCCTGGCGAGGATTTATCGATCGGCTCGTCATCGCGATACCGCCAGCCCGGTACCGCGCGGAAACGCCGCGCCGGCGATCGAGGCGTCAAGATCTCGCCGGATCTTCTTCGCGCGGGGCGAGAGCGTGATCGATCGGCGGTACGCAGTCACGAGAGGTAAACGTTGCCGGTGCGTTCGGCCCTCTCGATTTTTTCCATTTGCACCAGCAACGGCAACGGCAGCGGCAGCGACAGCGGCAGCAGCAGGCTTCTCTCCTCGCTAACTTAACGAAGAGGAATTCCTTTTCACTGTGTTAGCCCCCTCCCTGCTTGCCACCAACCCCTCCTCCGCCCCTCGACAAGTGCTACCGGTTCTTATTGTTCCACCGAGCTGTATTGTTCCCTTTTGTCAGTTTTTTCGAATATGTAGCTGGTCCGCGTGCGTGCGTCGCGCGCTACGCCGCGCGCTCCCGACGCTCGCCTCCTCTCGTCGCGTCGCCTTTGCGTCGCGTCTCGCGCTTTTCAATACAACGAGTCGCCACGGGCTTTATCCCCGGTTCGGGAATTTGTATGCGGCCCGTTCCCAAAGACCCCGTAACCGAGGAACGGTTACAGCTGGCGGTCGCTAACGAGCGTCAACGGACACCTTAAAAACCGCGCCGCTTCGGCTAGCCTGGTTCGCGCTCTCCCGCCTCCGGCCGGTAACACGGCGATCCGATCTCTCTCCTCTATATCCGATCCGATCCGATCCGATCCGATCCAATCCGTGGCCGTTCAGGGACGATCGATGGCTAACAGCATCGTTTCACCTGCCCAGACCTTGGCCAGCCCCGAGCACCACCAAGGCGACGCGTGTCATCCGATCTACCGGTCAGATTATCGATGTTATAATTAAAATTTCATGATCGATTTCCCCGGGCCCGGCGCGGACACGGTCACCCTACCCTGCTCTTCGACGTCTCTGCACCGCGACAGGTGTATAGGGGTTGCCGCACTCCTGTCTCTCCGTCTTCTGCCGATGTCGCGACACTTGACGCGTCGTTTGTCATCACCGATCCTCCCGCCGGAGCATCGGCGCGCCGATCTTTCCGGCTACTTCGATCCTCTGATCCGCCAATTTTCTGTCAGGACGTTTCCGTCGAGAACCTACTCCTCCGATCGATGACAGAAGAAGCGACTCCAAAGAACCACAACCAGAGATCGTTATCCTTCTTCGATCCGCTAATCTTGCATTTTCTATCGGATACTGTCAAGAACGTTCTGCTTCGAGCGGCGATAGAAGAAGCGACTTCGGAACCACAACGAAACACCGATTCTTCGTCGATCTTCTAATCTTCCGAATCTTTCTATCAGATCCTGTCGGGAACGTTCTCCTTCGATCGTTGACGGAGGAAACGACTTTGGAACCACAGCGAGAAACCTTTATCCTACTTCGATCCTCTGATCTTCCGATTTTCTATCGGGTCCTGTCAAGAACGTTTCTGCTCCGATCGACGACACTGGAACTAGTACAGCAAAGATCCTCTATACTTCTCCGATCCTCGAATCCTCGGACTTTTCGCAAGATCTTGCCCCAGATGTACACCGAAGAACGTCGTCACCTGATTGACAAACCGCGGAGTTTGGTTACGGCGTCCTCGCAGCGAAGAATGAAGAGTAGCCGACGTTCTGAAACTAGATCGGAGATACTTCGATCTGATTCGATTCTCTAGTCTTCAGAGTGTCGACAGGATTTTTCTTAGATCTACATACGAGAACGTAACATTCGTCGTGTCCCGTTCGATGCCGGACGAAGGATGAAGAGCGAAGAAATCTATGGTAACGCACCGTGTCCCCGAGGAACGCTCTAGGACTAGAGCATAGGATGAAAAACTGTCTTCCGTCCGATCTACGAATCTCGTATAAGATCGTGAATGTCCCATAAGAACCGTTCCCGAACAAGAGCAACGTTCCGAAGCAACTCCGTCTCCGCGGCCTAATCTCCGAATCTGCCACGAGATCCTTCCTAAACTCCACTGCTGTCACAACAAATCACGCTGACGTCAACGAATGCTGGAGACGACGGAGACGACGAGCTTTTCCAGAACCAGCCGGAAAATTCTGTCCCGCCGGATCTTCGGTTTCAGTGGAAGATCCTTTTCCAGTTCGCAGCAACGTGTCTGATCGAGAAGCGAAGTCGCGAGCGGCGCGATGTCCCCGAGGAACGCTCGGGAACTAGAGCAGAGGGTAACTGTGCAAGGTGTGCGTTGTAACCCGGTGTTCAAGGTAACGCGGCCGGCCACCACCATCAGCGACACACGAGCACCACAGTGTGACAACCACTACCACCACCACCACCACCACCACCACCACCACCACTAGCAGCACCACCACCGGCACTAACAGCAGCAGTAGCAGTAGCAGAAGCAGAATCGGAAGCAGCAGTAGCGGGAGCACCGGGGACCAGGGGCCTTAGTCACCAGTAAAGGTAGTCGAGCACCAACATCTCCGAGGGGTTAGCAGGCATGGGGAGATGAACGGGAAGACCGCGTGCACATGGGAATTTGAACGAGCGGGCAGAAAGTAAAGCGCGTTCGGTCGAGAGGAGGGCCCGCGATGGACTGGCCTCGCCAACCCAAGTCCTCCTACCTTTGGGATCAGGTCCCAGCCTCTACGATGTTACCTCTACGATCCTACCTCGCCTCGGTCGCTCTCTTTCTCGCTCTTTTTCTCTCTCTTTTCCTCCTCCTCCCTCTGTCTCTTTCTCTTTTCCCCCCTGCTTCTCTCTCGCTCTTTCTTCCTCCTTATTTCTCCCTCCATCTCTGTCCGTCCCATTCTCTCCTTCTCCCTCCCTCCCTCTCTCTCTCTCTCTCTCTCTCTCTCTCTCTCTCTCTCTCTTTCTGTCTGTCTCCCGGTCTGTCCGTCTCTCTCCTTCACTCTTCCGTTCGCAGCGTGTTCTTTTTCCCTTCCCTCGTTTTACCTTCTTCGTATCCTTTCCTCCTCCTCCTCCTCCTCCTCCTCCTCCTTCTCCCGTCGCCGCTTTCTCTGCACCTTCCTCCGATCCTCTTACTTTCTTCCCTCCCATGCCCTCTCTTTTCGGATCGCTCCCCGTCTACTTACTGACGTCGTCTCGCGAACGCATCCGCGGTCCTTCCTCTGCGCCCCGGCGTTCGCTTTAGTTTCGACGGTGTTGAACAGTTCGCCGAACGTCCCGGGCCCGCGCGTCCACGCTCGCCTAACCGCGTCAACGGCCCACAATTTTCGCTATTGCCACCGGCCGGACGGTATCTGACGCCAATTTCTGTTTCCGACGTGGATTATCATTTCTGTTTCCGTCGTCGATCCTGGGATACTAGTCCCGGAACGAGGCTTTTTGAGAAGTTAGAATTTGCACTTTGCAAATAACAGACAATCGATAGCTATCGCGAAATTGCAGGTGACTCTTTTCGTCTACGTGGCTAGATCAGATCGAAAGTAAAATCTGTGTTCGAACGACAACATTGTGATAATGTTCCTGTCATATGATACATAGAAATTCATCATTAAACTCTATGTCTTTATGCATTTATCTTGTTTTCTTTTGTTACGAAGAAACGAGCATGTTTACACGTTCGCTATCCAAGCTCTTGGTATTATATTGAAATCAATCTTTCGTTTAAATGTTCGGCTTTCTCGTTTCTAATTGTCGCATTTTAATCAGTTAGCTGTCTGCGACGAGTACGCTCGTCGTAGCGCAAAATGTAGCCGTTTCCTCGTGACGAGTATGCTCGTCGAAAACGACTAACTGGTTTCAGAAGAATGTATCGTTTGATGTTAAATTGTATAGTTTACGAGAGTGTGTATGTAAATAGAATATGAAGGGAATCAAACATGTACAGTATAATTTCAGTAACTTGCACACTATTCAAAGGGATTGCAACAGCTAACCGGTTAATAACACGATTTAACGGACGACGTTAAATGAATAAAGTTTCCAACGTTTTCTCTCCACTGCGAGAAGCATTTTATGACAATGAAAATGAGGCAAATCGTATGAAATGAAGTTGTAATATTAATTTACAGGTTTTTAAGATTAGTCGTAATTGGACTGCGGATTTTATTAATTCGCGATCAAAATGACTTCTAACTAAAGCGTTAGAAACATTCCAGGATGTTCTTACATCCTTCTCAATTTATTAGAATTATTAACAAAAGAAACCCACGCGCGTCCCTCTCACTTACATTTTACGCAATCTACTTGGAAAATGTTTGTTTTGCATAAAGATCCGCAGTCTGTTCATAGCTTGCCACTCGTCACGCGAATTTTTCTTAATTCCATGCAGAACGATAAACAATTTAATCTCTAATTACTAGACTGCAAATTTTGTGCATTTATAACAAAAGTGAGCAGTTCCAATTTAAAATAGTAGAGAGATTAAAATCATTTAAAAACGTCATTGTATCATTTTCGATCTAACAAAACTATTGAAACGAAGTACGATCTTTTTATTTAGTTCTACGTTTTCCTACGTTTCCTGCAGACGATTTTTGTTTTGCATAAAAAGCCGCAGGGTATTAATTACTATTTCTACGCTGGTAACAAATGAACGACGGTCGAAACGCAAACTGATCGCAGTCGACGTATAGAAAACGAGAATTGCTCAACGGAGAAGGCTCGTATATAGCAAAAGGTAATTAATTAACGGTTCCAAACTGAAGCTAATGTTTCTTGAATGGGCGTGTGCACGTAACAATGGCGAATTATAAACGCGCTCGGAGAGCTCACCTGGCCGCAAATTCACGGCACACATCCACGGATACAGACATCTGTTAAGATTAATAAGTTCCGGCACACGGTGCACGACAGCCTAAAGTAAAATAAGTAATAAATAGCCGATACGCGATCTAAAGCGGCACGCTATATATTTGCATTTTACGGTAGAACGTCTACGACGCGAGCGTGCAAACGTAGACGTGCGAGAAGATAAATGGAGTCGGGCATGGCGAACCGCGTAATTTCAATGCTGAGCTACTGATTCATTCGACATTGTATTTGTTTCCTATCCCGGGCGGCTGCGGGACTGCGAAATCGCATTGTTTGCGCGTTTCTAAACCGCGCGTATTGTTTCCACGCTTAAATCTTGCGCGATTTTTCGCGATACCGGGTGCCGCGGAACTCTGAAATCCGTTGTGACACGAGAAAGCAATATCGCCGGTGGTGATAATATTTTCACACCGAATAATATTCTTATTGTGCGCCAACTGTTCTTTCTTCTGCGCCGACGGACTTTTTCAATTAATACAGATAAACAACCAGCTTTCTAACTACGCGATTTTCTGTCGAATTTAACACAGAGTTTGGCATTTTTCAAATTATATTCATAGTTTATTATATTATTGTATATATTTATATTATTATTATTACGAATAAATATTTATTATCTAGAATTATTATTCAAACGAATTCGTTTCGGTCGAATATTTTTTTCGGATAACAATCTTTCGTTATTCGTTGTTTAGTGAAGAATGATAGCAATAATCCATTATTCAGTATAGAATAATATCAATTATTTATTATTCATTATTCGGTATACAATATTATTCTTCATTCGTTATTCGAATAAATCATTCCAATAGAGATCGTAAAATTACTCGAATAACAGCGTGGATAATTCTTGACCCTTTTGTACGTAGAAAGAAAATTAAGAAAAATAATTAATTGCCAAAATTAACATGGAAGATAATCAATAACCAATGAACAGACACTACATTCTATCATTTTTATTCAAATCGACCGTGTTCCGAATTAATTCCTGTACAAATAAAATCTTATTCGAATAACAAAAATAACTTCTTATTCAGTCGAATTTTCATTCGAATAAAATCTTATTCGGATCTTCTTCGATGCAAGATTTTTTTTCTATACGACAAAAGTGTTCTAACCCCTTTCAACTTTGATATAACCTTAAATAAAGATGTACTTTTTCTTTGAATTGTTTCAATACATTGTAAACAGATTTGTATAAGACATTTGCACAAGATTCGTAAATTTTTCTAATGTTGTCTTCGCGTTGTTCTGTATTTCGCTTAGCCAGCTTTCCCATAAATGCATAAAATCATCGGAAGTTCTCTCTCTCTCTCTCTCTCTCTCTCTCTCTCTCTCTCTCAAGTTTTGATATTTAAGTTTGTATTTTTTTTCTTTTCTTCGTCCCTATTTTTATTAGTTTCAAGTTCTTGTATTTCTTCCGTCCTTGCGTGACTGCTACCATATTATTACTCTCTCTCTCTCTCTCTCTCTCTCTCTCTCTCTCTCTCTCTCAAGTTTTGATATTTAAGTTTGTATTTTTTTTCTTTTCTTCGTCCCTATTTTTATTAGTTTCAAGTTCTTGTATTTCTTCCGTCCTTGCGTGACTGCTACCATATTATTACTCTCTCTCTCTCTCTCTCTCTCTCTCTCTCTCTCTCTCTCTCTTCCTCTCCCCGTAACAGAGGATTTACCCAGTTGATAAATAAAGTCATACTACTTCAATTTTATTATTATTACTTTAATTCCGCAGAGTAAGTTCGAGGGCTGAAAACCGGTTGAAAAATTGTCGTAGATTCTGATCGACGTATCGCGATCCCCCGGTTTCCGAGATCCGGCGGCACTCACCCCCGAGAACTCAATTACCAGGAAAAATTCATTTGCGTCAGGTCATAATGCACCAGGCGGAATGACCGATACGTATCCGCGCGTGAATTTTCGATCGTATCGGCGGCGCACGGCCGTGATTCATTTCGTGGGTGGATCGGCCGATCTGCTGGTTCGACTTGAGGCCGAGTTGATGTACGAGGGGTGTGCCTCGACTCGATCCCGGTGTGCCGAGAAACGTCCACGTAGCTGAAAACGTTCCGGGCCCCGTAGATCTTTGCGATCGGGAACAGAAATCGGCGGACGATCTTGCCCGCCTGCGCAGGTCGTATATTTCTCTGGAACGAACCGGGGAAAAACGTGAAACAATTAAGACGCTCGCTGAAATTGGACTGCGGCCGCTTCGTCTTCCATATTGAGAAGTCTCGGTTGAAATATTGGCCCCCTTCTTGGTCGTTTATCCACGTGAATTATGGCCTGGGACTAGGCTTTTATTCAAATAATATATTTCGCAAATGATGATTCGAGTAATATATTGTCCTATTCGATTAGGTATTTTTTTTTTCATTTTTTAGACACTGTGTACGTTTATTTGCACGTGGGAATGCTTTTTTGTGTTCATCGCTTCTTTCTTCGGGTATCAAACGATTTCTTGCCGTGTCTCGTATTTGAGATGAGCCTCGTATAAA